ATAACTCTTTGCTTCTTCTGCTCCGCGGTCTTATTATTATTTACATCGATTGATCGGAACATGTACTCTTTAAATTTAAATTCAGAGAGAAGCACAGTAGGTTTTATTAAAATTCTCGCCAATGCTTATTTTTTAAGTGGCGACAAGATCCATCTTGATGTCAATTGATCTCTGAGAAAAATTTATCTGCAAAAGCACGTTCAAGGGAAAATATTTTTTACTCCAACATTGAAGTTTTTTACCTCGGTTCTCGGATAGCCTAAATATTGCTTTTTTTATTCTGCAAGATTAACAAAAAACTTTGACATCTTGTAAATTGTATAAAGAACTGCATATATTATATGGAACCATATCGACATTCAATTCATTTCGTTTATTCTCTCGCAACAGGTCAAGATTATTTTTGAGGGGAAAATATTACATTGCGGAGAGAATAAGCAGCAAATTCTAAAACCAATTGTAGATTTATCTTAAATAACAGCTTGCTTAAAATCTTTTTCATTATTTATTTATTATTATTTATTCTTCGCATCTCTCAAATCCCAAATCTCCAGGCTAATGTACTTATAATTGAAACTCACTCTGTTGAAAAAGGGACGAAAAAATAATATAGATTGAGCAAAAGGGGTTGATTTTTGACAGGCTCAAACCCGTGACAAAGGTTTTCAAAGTTTCTGTTTTTGTTTAAAGTAATAAAAAGATGCTTATAAATTTTTATATAACATTGAATGCATATAGAAGTGGTAACTATATCCTTTTGAGATTAATTTCAATTGTATAGTATCATTGTTCGAAATAGATACATTATATAATAATAATCAACAAGTCTAATTTTAAAAATATGCTATTATAACAACAAAATCTTTCACCAAAATATTATAAACTAAAATAAAATTATTTATTTAAATTAAAATAATAAGATAATAACAAATGTTAAAAATCAATTTAAAATGTATAAATAATTATATAAAACTTTATTAAATAAAATTTAATCTTAAATGAATAGATTTTGCTATGTACTTTGGATATTAATTTTATTGAATAAAAAAATTTAAAACGCGATTATCTGCGTTATATGACGTGTCTTCTAAACTATGAAATTATGATATTTTCATTTGAAAAATTGTTAATGATAAAAAACAAATTAAATTTTACTCCTTAAATAAAATTTTATCTAGCTTAATATCTATGTAATTGTACAAGATAATATAAGCGCATATTATAATTGTATATTACATCTTATAATTTTAGCAAAAGAATTTTTTAATTTAACTTTCTCTCACAAATAGCGTGTAAAAATAAAAAATAAAATGCAAACAATACGTTATATTGTGGTTATATTTTATTTAATAACGTTTTATAAAATTATTTATAAATTTAAATTTATTTTTAACATTATAAATTTTGCTATTATTTTAATTTATATGAATAATTTCATATTAGTTTATAATATTTTGATAAAAGATTTTGTTGTTATAATAGCATATTTTTAAAATTAAACTTGTTGATTATTTTAAATAATGTATCTATTTCGAACAAAGATACTACAATCGAATTTAATCTCAAAAGGATATTAAAACTGTTTGCATATGCATGCAATATTATACAAATTTATAATCATCTTTTTACTATTTTAAACAAAAACAGAAACTTTGAAAGCCTTGTCACGGATTTGAGCCTGTCAAAAATCAACCCCTTTTGCTCAATCTATTATTATTTTTCATCCCCTTTTCAACAGAGTGAGTGTCAATTATAAGTACATTAGCCTTTAGCCTGGAGATTTGTGTGGGATTTGAGAGATGCTATCAAACAGCAAAGTCCACGCCAACGTAGTGAGGATGAAAAAAATATATATTTATCTCACAAAACTCGAACTAGAAAGCGATCAAGTTGAAAAAAAATGTCACCCCATCGGAAACATGAGGTTGTTTGCTTGTCGTGTCACAAGACTGGCAGAAGATCTCCCGCTGGCTGCCAAGGCTCAGCAAACACACTTGGGTGCCACTAATAAGAACCATTTTTTGTGTGACATGGCAAAATGCAGGTAGCGTCTTCGGAGAGCCTCGAGCTCAGAAAATGGTCTCGCTGGCGCCTGCTGCATTTTCTCTCCGAGCGAAAACTGCACATGGACCGACATCGACCACTTGTTGGCTTTTCAAACTCGCCTCTCACCACGGCACTTACTCTGTGCCCACGTGCATGTGTTGGTTATGATAAAATAGCGCCAGCGCAATAATTTCCAACACCTCTGCCCGGCGCGTATCTTTTTATTCAGAGCATGAAAGCTGTCATTAAAATTGCCAGCGACTCCGAGTCTCCGAGTCGTGGTGAAATTAATCAAAAGATAGAAATGCAAGTCCTTGAGGAACTGACACTTATTCGATTCGAGCTGTAATGGACTCGAGTCTTGTTCTATTTGTTCATCAAGAATTGACTAGAGCATGAAATTTTCAATTTTTTCCCATGATCATTTTTTATAACCAGCAATATTAAATATTCAGATATGAGGAATCTATAGTCGTGAATTTTATATGCGTGAAAATAATCAAATTAATTGTTAAAAATCTAGAATAATTGTAAATTTTGCCCTTCCCTTTCATAAATATGAAAATAAGAATTTTTACGCAGAAAATTATACACGATTGTTTTGAGACAAAAAAAAAAAACAGTGTCACGATCTAAATTATTTTTTTATATTTTTCATTTTTATTGAAATATTTGCTGTACCTGTTGAAATTATTAAAAAATTATGCATTTATTTTGTCAAAAAGTGCGCAAGAAATTTTGATATCAATAGACAAAATGTAATGAACAAAATATTATGCAAAAGACCTTTGCCTTCTCTTGAATCCTTGGTGCGAGTAGAGTCTAATCTTATCTAAGTACCACTAAATAAAATTAAAAATAACCTTGCTAAAATTATAAAGATTATCTACACGTTAAAAAGCCTATAAAATAATAGGCAGATAATCTAATCAATATGCAAAATAAAAAATCCAAATAGAAAAATTATTTTTGTTAAATAAGCAAAATCTATAATTATAGATAATGTAAAGAATATTAATCAGGCGCCATTTTTATTTATGAAATTTTTAAGTGTCTTGAAGCTCAATTCAAAACAACTATATTTTATACTTCTTTCTTAAAAATAATTTTAAAAAAAGAAGTAAACTGGATAATTTTTGCAAGATAATAATGGTAATAATATAAAATTTAAATAAAAAATTCAATAATTTTTTTATGACGTATTGTTGAATTATATAAAATTGAATGCAAAAATATTTGATAACAAATGAACAAACAAAAATAATTAATTGTAAATTATACCAGCCAAATTTTTTTCACGCTGCGTTTGTCTTGAGTGACTTAATCTATTAAGTTGTCGTAATTACATTGAATATTGGCCAATATTATTTCTCCATTGGGCACAAGTAATTGTCTGCAATTGTAAAATAATTTTTTAGTATTCAACCTTCTGGAAAAAGCGAAATCAGGAAACGACTGGTGCATTTTTGACAAATTAATAACACAAGCAATAAATCTGTCAACTTTATCTCGGAAAACACATTATGCTTGCAAAAATTACTACCGTGATCGACACGGTCTTGGCAAAGGTATCGAGCAAGTGTGCGAAACCGGCGTGCTTTTCGCGGTAGTCAGGGATTTTGCCCGGAAGGTCGTCTACAATTTCAATGGGCGATCTGCTGACGTTTTGACATTTAAATTGGCCGCTGCAAATCTCATAAGTCAGGATGTGCAAATGAAAGCAAGTGGAGCTCAACGGAGCAAACACGCCAAGTCGGAGAATCTCAAGTATACGAAAATAATTTGACACGCACCCGCGCTTTCAAAATAACAAGTTTCAAGTTCAACAACCGTAAAATCTGTAAAAAATTTTTAAAATTTCCACGCGATTAAATTTTCCAAAAGTAATTTATTCATCGAAATATTGAAATTTTATTTTATTAATTAAATTAAATAAAAAAAATTTTCTACGATTACAAAATCATCGGTCCATAAATCGATTCTGCAAATTTTGTCGTCAATTTTCGTGAGACGCGATGAGGGTAACAGCCTGGCAGGTTTGCAGGCCGACCGTTGGCGACCTTAGAGGTTTGTGTGCAGAGTTGAAGGAAGATTGGTTTGTTGCTGGTTGGGGCTCTCGGCTCAGCACTCGGCCGCGTCCGCCTTTGTGTGCGTCGAGTAAATTTCTTAGGCAGCGCTGCCAGAGTTTTTACTCCAGACGCACGCTTGTTTGTGTGCTGGTTTAGTTATAATAAATGCCGTCGCCACGACAGGCTAAATTTAAATAACAGAAAATAATAATTTATGCCTTCTTTAGAGGAAGCATAAGATTTTTTTTATGAATTTATTTATTTATTTATTCTCCATTCGATACAGTCATGTAATGAATACAGCAAAAAAAACTATACAGAAAAATTACAGAAAAAGCTGAAAATACATTTTGAAAGAGACATACTGTTAATTTAAAAATACGTGTTTAAAAAACAGTATTTTAACTAGGAGTTAAAAATTGATAAACATAATGTAAACTAATTTTTATAAATTTATTTATATTATCTTTATTAATCCGTTTAGTTTTTTAATATTTTAATTATATATATTACATTTAAATATTAAATAATAAAACATTGAAAGTTTATTAAAATTTATGATTGTTATATACAGTTCAAAATATTAAGTAGTAAATGTTTTTTTTATACTAAATTTGAATAATCATGTTACTTTGTAGCACAAATTTTCTAGCTTGGTATTAACATAAATTGAAGATTGTTGACTGATTGCTTAATTGCGTCTTAATTTAGTCAGTAAACCACTAATAAAGTAGTTAAATTAAAAATTCTAAAAAAAGTAATAATTCAACGATTAGATAAAATCTGGTTGGTGGCGACGGTGTCAATTCTGATCTAACGGACGTGCCGAGAATCAGGCAGCTCTCGCCGAGCACTTGAGCGAGCGAGCAGCAGTCTGTAGTTGTGGTCCGGAGCGCGAGCATCACCGCGTCGCTCTCTCTCGTCCTCTCCAACACACCCACAGCCCCTTGGGTGCGTTTTTTTTATACCTTGAGTGTACCTTTAAAAACGCACACCTGATTTTTGTCTCAAGTGCCTTATTCGAATCGGTGCTCGATTTCTGCTCGTTCTCTTCGGAATTATTCATCATGCACCGTTTCCGCATCGGCTCTTCGTAAATCGGTGAGTAGGATTTTTTTCCTGAAAATTTAAAATTCATTTTCTAACAAATATTTCATAAATTGATGCGTTTTTACTTGAAAAGTTGATGCGTCTCTCTTGACCTATGCCAAATTCAGGCACGTTTATTCAAAAGCCATGCTCGAGAAAAAACATCTGGTGTCAATTACAAAGCTGCAGCCTCCCCCGAACGAGGCTCGATTTTCTTCCAAAATCTCCAGATGTCAATGAGCAACACGAGCAAGAATAAGAAAGGCCTTTTTCTCATTCACCCATGAGTGAAATATGATCTGCGCACGCTATTTATAATTTCTCGGCGACGGAAAAAATTGGCGCCGAAATTATTTTGAAAAAAAAAACTCCCAACGTGAAATCTAAGTAGACTTAATCGACTTAAAAGAGAAGTTAAAGCATCTGCGGTCGGAGCGCCCAACGCTCGCGATGCTTATCTCGCTCTTTAATCCGAGAGAGTTCCAGTTTTCCCGGCATCAATCTACACACAGGGACATTAATTGTCCGCGCGGGCAGCTCTATTTCTCTTTAATTGTTGCGTGTCCGAGATTGTGATCGACCAAGTGAAGAGGTTTGGTCTCTCGTTTCCTGGAGTAAAGCACCGCGCGGCTTATAAAATAAAAAAATACAATCCGTATTTTTAATGCTCGGTCAGCCTTGAACTTTTTACTCGCGCGCGCACAAAAGACGGCAAGGTCTCTGCAATCACGAAAAATTTATACCTCGTTTGAAACGTTACGAAGAGGGAAAATAATCTCCGGGTCAATTTCCTCATTGCCGCCGGTTTTTTTATTTATTTATCCATCAACGTGCTAATTACTTATCTTTCTACCTCACCTTTGACTCTGTCCTGCGCCGTTTTCGTCACCAAAGTTGAAGGAAAGATTTCCTTCCGCCTCGGGGAAATTACTTTTTTTTTTTTTAATTCATCCTCTAAAACTAGTTACCAATTAGCGGCTTGATGGTCTTTCTACTCTCTCTTTTTCGATGCACTTCGCCTCAGGACGATCTTGCATTGAAAGAAAGCCAAAGTTTGACGACCTCTATTATTTTAATCTTGTGGAAAAGTAAAAATTGGGAAAATTCTTCACTTGCACCTGGTTGGAATGGTAATCAATTTCTCTGAATGTGAATAGCAGGGATTAGCCTCCCCCCGGTCAGCAGCTCAAATAGTGAGGAATTCCATTTGTATTGTGGAGAAAACACCCTGCAGCGAGGGAGGGTCGTGGCAAGGCCGTTTGGGCGGGAAACGCCGCGAGGAAAAATATATAGTGTATTTTGTATTTCGAAAGAAAGAAGAGGTGTCGTGAACCTCACAAAAAAAACGTGAGGGTGCATCAGACAAGCTCATCTTTCCAACCAGAGGCTTTATTTTTTTCTTTCCACGCAAAGCACGTTTGGTGGAAACGTCCGAGCAGTGTCAATTTTGACCGATTTCTCCATTAGTTTGTACCAAACTTTTGGTGATGAATTATTCATTTTTTTATCCTATTAGCAAATTATCTGAGATTCGGCTTAAGATTAAGATAACAATTCAATTTGCTGAGCCGGCGGCCACGATAATCAATTTCCACATCTGTTTCCCGCAGTTTCGAAAATCAACAAACAATGAGGCAATTAAATGCAAACATTCTTGAAATTAGCATAAGGTAAATTCTGATCAGCTTTATTTCTTTCCTTGTTAGCTTTGTTTGTGCGTTCGGAGGCAACATAGTTTTCCGAGAACAAAAAAAAAAAGCAAATAATAAAATTACGTGAGGCCACAAAGTAAATAATTCGGAATTATTTGCTCCAGTCGGGGAAAACTCCGAAGGCCCGATGTGGGTCAGCTTTTGAATAAATTTACCGTCGAGTAGCGCTTGTGGCATCGGCGATTCTGCTGCGTTGCCTCTGCACCTTCATTAAACTCAAAAGTTTTATCTAATTTATTATTACATGCGTCCAATGCGGCGAATTTAGGACGAATTTTATATATTTAAAAAGGTGCTTTTACGATTGGAAAACTTTCGAGTCATTGTTTGCCTTTTTATTAGCTCTTGAAGTGGATTTTTCGGATAAAAGATAAAAGGGCGTGATGAAGAAGCGATTTTTTTCTCAGAAAGTGTTACAAGCAATTATTATTTTTATTGGTACATAATCCATATAAATTATAACGATTTTATCTCAAAATTGAGTCACCTTTAATTATTTTTAGAAGTTTTCCGAACTTTTGAATTTAACTGTACAAAATGAAGAGCTTCTTACTCTTTAAGAAAACATCCCTTTTTCCTCGAAAGTGGAGGAAACAATCATCCTATTTTAAGCTTTACCAAAATTTATTGTCCTCAAATCCCCGTGTTTTACCCTCTTTGTCTGTCAGAAAGGGTTTTTTCTGCCGAGCACGGCGGATTTGGTCGGTTCCACTTGTTGTCGTGGCGCCAGTCTGAAGTCTGAAGCCTCTTCTTTCCAAATGCGAGCCATAAAGTGCTCCTCTTCTTATCTGACAACAGGCGACTCTTCTTTTTTTTTCTTCCACCCCCTCTCTTGCTCGTTGTTTGTGAAGAAGCAAAACAAGCGTGGCGTCTCTCTCTGGATTTCTTTCCTGCGATAGCAAAAACATTTGTTCCACAAACCAAATTGCTTTATTGTACCCTGAGTGAAGGTGGAAAGGCTGTGCAAAAATTTGTCCCTGTTGTTTGCGCCCGTGGTAAATTATTTTATTGCCTGCGACGCCGTGGCTCCATAAACGCGCAGACACAATACCTGCGGGGAGGCAACGCGTTTCAAAACTTTTGACAAAGAGACCTTTTGCCTTTTTACAACAAGAAAGTGAGTGACTGGCTCCAGAGACTGTATTGTTTCGTCCTCACAAGGGAACCTACGTCTGCCCCGGCGTCTATTTTTTCCTTTTCTTGTGCAAATTTATGAGAACCTGTGAAATGGGCGTAATAAATTTCCCAGGGGTCGCGCCACAAAATTATTTATCCTTGGATTGGGAAGAAAAAGAAAGAATCGACTGGCCTTCCCAGAATGGACAGCAACAAAGTGGAATTTTTATTTTTCCCTGAAACGTCAAAAAATTGTGACTTGTTTGAGCGATTTTTCTTGTTAAAATATTAGGTCAAAAAAATATTTTCTCCGAATATTATTCTGTAGGTTTGTTTTAGACTTCAAAAAAGCTCTTTGTTCTTGCAAAAGGATGTTTGAAAAAAGGATCTAATTAAAAAAATATTGTTTGATATTAGATTAGATTAGATAATAGTTTTATTCATTTGAGCACAAATTTACAGTCATCAACATGCAAAAAAAATACCTCCAAAACAAGTTAATGTTGCCCGTAGAACACGTCAAGTCATTACATGCTAATTAAAAGTATGTCCAAAAAATTCGAACCGATCATAAAACAAATTATCATTCAACACCTTTTTAACAAGTTTCTGAAAATCTTTGCATTTAATTCTATCTTTTATTATATTCGGAAAATGATTAAATATTTTTGCAATCATTACAAGAGGGTTTTGACATGTCATAGTCAATGAGGTGCTTTCAACAAAAAGGTCACAGTCATTGGTCACTGCACCTCTCGTATTATACGACTTTGCATCCGGAACATCTTTTTTTAATCTAAATTTCTCAGGGTATTTTTGAACAAATTTCATACATTCTAGGATATACAGGCAGTATGCTGGTAAAATATCAAATTGACGAAATAGCGGTTTACTATTATTTAAAATAGTTTAATAAATAAAATATAATTTATTTTGCGCTTAATATGGCAGCATGACAAAACAATTGGATCCACAATGAAGGACTGTGAAATAAATTTTTTTAATATTCAAAATCTTCAACAGTAAAGGTAACAAATTTATAAATATATATAAAAGCTGAGAACTTAGCCTTTAACATTCTGAAATATGAGCAGCAAAAATAAATTTTTAAATAAAAAATTATAAATATATATTTTATGTATAAAAAATATTTAACTTTTTTAAAAACTAAAATTAAAACACTGTTCGAATATAAAATTTTAATGGTTAAAACATTAAATTTAAATAATAATAATTATATTTTATAATAACTACAAAATGTTTTTATTTTCATGAACGCTCACATCTGTCAGATCGATGAAAATTTAAAAGGCCAAGTTTGTATGTGAAAATCTTGAAAACAAAGGAGGCGAACTTTTAAAAATAGTCGCGATATTTAAATTCTTCTCGGTATGGGGCACCGGCCGCACTCTGCTCACATCCGAGTCGCGACAAAAAACGCAGCATGGGGCGAATCGACGCTGCGTTAACAAGTGTTCACTTAGGCTTTTATTTATATCCACGCTCGCCGCGAGTGTTACACTTTTTTACGCGCAAGCATTTTAATTTTCAATCGAACTCGATAAGAAAGGCCTGGGGTTAATTAATATAAGTAGACCACTTGACACTGACGTTTTAATTGTATAATTATGCAAATGCCGTTCGCCTTGCCGCATTTTACGACCGCGACGTGCTCGTGCATGACAATTTCGGCGCGAGCATATAAGTTTTTCGGAATACGAATTAGGAGCGAGAGCAATAAAAAAAATTCAAAAGCTGAATGGAGAAAGATAGATGCCCCTCATTGCGCAATAAAACGCACGACCTTGGCCGCTTCGTAATGAGAGGCAGTTTTATTTTAATTTTCCAACTTGCAACATTTTTTTTTTTACGCTCGAAGACAAACAAAATTTTCTAGAGGAAATATTTCCATGTAATTTAATTTGAAATAAACGTATTTTTGTTTATTTTTTCTTATGAGAGAGATTTCTCGAGCTGGTTAATTTGAATTCACACGCAACGGGAGAAAATATGATATTACAGGAATGCGAAAGTGTAATTGCTGTTCGAGTACACGCGTGTGCTGTACTGCTGTGTGTTTATCTTCGTGCGCCGAAGCAGGTCATCGCAAAGTCACGTATTGCGCTGCATCCAAGGTTTGCGTATCCAACGCGTTTTTCAATATGAATAAATCTGCGCGAAAATAAAACTTTATTGACTTGTACGGCGCAATAAAAATGTTCATTAATTGCCGATCGCTGTACAGAAAGTCCGATTGCGCAATTCAATAATAATTGTGCAATAAAAAATATCAGATTTTAGTTTTCAATTCGTCTCGAAATAAATTTATCCATGAACTTCTTCTCTCCTACGCTGTAAAAGGAGAACAAAAAATATAATTTATGAACAAATCAATTTTGATTGATTTCATTTAGTAAAACAGCAATTTAATTTTTGAATTAAAACGAGCAAATAAATTTGAAGTTAACTGAATGTTTATTTATGTAATTATTTAATTTAATTATATAAAAGAATGACTTTATATTAATAACTTAATATTAAAATTCAAATTTTTCTTATTTATTGCTCTTTATCTTTATAACTGCGAGTTTTTAATTTTGTACTTGCAACTTTTAAATTAAAAATAAATATTTTCATTTATGCATAATGCAGATCTTATGTATTTAAAACCATTGTTTCCTATCAAATTATTCCAAATGTTTTTGCAAAAATTAAATTGATTTTAATGTGAATGAAATATTGTTAAATAGCTTATCTAGATGAGCAGTGAATAAAACTCATGAAAAAATAAATCTCGGTTCTGAGCTCTTTGAAGTGCTGTATTTTTAATTTAGAGGAATTAGAAAAACCGCAAGACGCGTGAGTGAACAACTGCTGCGTGCAGCCTTTTCCTGCCACAGCCAAAGTTCCACCTGCTTGCTCGTAAAAATCTGAAAATCCCGCGCATCCCTTTTCTTTCTGAAAGGACATCTGGACTTATTTTCTCCTTTCGTGTTTTCAGACAGGGTGCAGAGATGGCCGCTTTTCTCTGCTCGCCGTGGCTGCTGCTGCTCCTGTTGAGCACCCCGGGCCTGCGGGCGGCCGACGCTGACTCGGATTTCCGTTTCATCCCCCACGAGGGTAAGTTTTGAAAATTATATTTGCTTGTTTTTCCAAGGTAGTGCGCGTCGAATCGGAAGTGGGACTGCGCGTCTTGGCTTGATCCGTTGCCACTTCGGCGTCTAATCTCCAACATCCTGCGCCATAATTCAATTTGCAAGAAGCGTCTCTCGGGGGTGTCAAAAGCTTTGAAACTGACTTTTTTCACCAAAGTTTACACGCGTTTGAGTCGTTAAACATAAAAATAAACTTTTTTCAATTTTATTTATGAATATTTATGAATTAAAAAGACAATTCATTAAAAATCCTTTGTTTCAAATCTGTCATTTAACTTGCACAATTTAAATTAAATTATTCAACTTTAATTTTTTTCTAACGAAGAAGCGTTAAACCTTGATTGTTGTCAATAAATATTTTAAAATTATTCAAATTTAATCAATTCTAAATATTATTTAAATTAATTTTGTTGAAAAAATACTCTACATCGAATTTTTTTAGGAAAAAAAGAGATAAATCAATTATTATAGAATCTTGACTAAATAAAAAGGAAATAAAAATGAAGTACAAGTCACAATTCCCCCCCCCCCCTGCAAAATACAGTTTTTAATGTTCTTTAAAATTGAAATATTCGCATTAAATGTTCCTGGCAATCTAAAATGAAATGAACGTTTCCGACCTCTAAATGCAGGGTGTATCAAATGATATTTTTTTACGACCCTCGGCCGTAAAATCCAGCGCTGCATCTCATCTGCGTCGCAAAAGAAAACATAACGAGGCTCCCTGTGCTGCCGAGATTGAAAGTCGGCATTCATGGCGGCTCGAGAGGGGCAGTGCGGCTGTTTCCCAGGTCGCCTTTTTAATCTGCACAAAGCCGACCTTTGTTCTGCACGTGCAGAAGCAGAGCTCGCGAGTCAAGCGGCGCGTGCAGATTCTCAAACAAAGCCGGAAAGCATAAAATGCTGAAAGAGAGCGAAAATGATTTAGCGTCTGTCGATCAGCGCGATGAAAGCTGCAATTTATTACCCTCCTTTAATAAATTGTCGCTGCGATGCCTCGTTTTTCACTTCATTATAGCGGTTGATCGTTATCACTTTGTGTAAATAGCCGAGAGCACAACAGGAGCAAAAATTATAAGATTAAACGTCCTTTGTGTGCAGCTCAAGATATTTATTTATGCGTTTTGGAAAAATAAAACGAGGCTGGCGAGAGATCTTGTTCCAATGTTGACAAGCCGCGCGGTAATTGAGTTTTGTTGTAACGCGCTTTACCGTTTTCTCTCTTTATATAATATAAAATAATGCATCTCTGCTGAGAGCGGCCGAGTGCAAATAATCAATCTTGGCCAAGAGTTAAGCGAATCAGAAAAGCGCTGCACAAGACACGATTGCATGTCCAGGGGAAAATGGAAATTGACGCCGAAGGAAAAAAATTCTGCCGCTCGATTGATTCTTCAATAAGAAATTGTCTCGTGTTTACCTTATTTAGATCCGCGTCATTTGTTAGAGACATAAATTAAAACGCCAGAGAAAAATTCAAAAAGTCCAGAGGCGATTTTCTTTCATTGCAAGAACGACGGCTAATAATTATATCTGTTGGTTTATTACATTTTTTTTTAAAACGCAGCTTTTTTCCGAGAAACTGAAACAATGCGCTTTACGAGATTGACGGAAATTAGCATAGGCCGTGCAATATAATATGCGTTGAAGTGAACAAGACGTACGTTTCATATATTATCGTCATACACGCTCGTTGCATTCAGCACAAAATAAATATACTCGTCGGCCGCAGCAATAATAATAATCATTCCTTTCAGTTTGTCATGTGTATAACAATAGCATGTCCATTTGTGCGCGCGAGAAGACACGGCTCGTTTGCTTTGACACCTTTGAAAAGCTCGGCAAAGTATAATGATGGAGCGAGGAAACTCTCTCTCTCGCGTCTTCTCTCCGCACCTGACGATCAAAATAATGGACAGAGTCAATTAAGAAATCATTGCAACAACGCTCTCCACACAGAAACAAGTTGATTTTATATTTTCAGCTTGAGTGCTTCGAATTCCTTTTCATTTACTGCCATATAAAGAAGCAAAAAACGCGCAATCGCTATAATTTTTTTTCTTTACGCAATAAAAATGTTTGATTTTGAATTTTTTGATGAATTATTTTAATTATTATAGAACTCTACTGAAATAATGATCGGATTTCTTGGTTGAAAATTGTTTCCTTATTCATTGGAATCTACATTTTATTAATTTTAATTGTATTGAAATTTGCAATTTTAATTAATGTTCATATTGTTGCAAATTGTGTTCATTTATGAATGGATGTTCATTAAATAAAATAAAAATGACCATAAATTTATCACTAAATTTTTTAATGCTAATTTTAATTTATATTTTTAAAACAATGTTTATTTAACATTTTATGATTTTTTAATTAAAATTTCAAAGATTTTTCTGATTAAATTAAACGTCCACATTCAAGTGACTGCTATGATTAATCTTATCAAAAGAGTGAGAAAAACATGCTTCTTCTTGTACAATCATTAAAAACAATGATAACATACTTTCGGCCGGTTCCATCTTTTCGTGTCATTCCCGCCGTTCGCCTGCATGAATGAAAGACCCGGTCCATGCATTCAGCCAAGGCCGCAGCAAAACGCGAAATTCTACCCTATGGAAATAAGTCTCAAGTCGGTCTGCAAAACAATGAGCGAAAACGGAGCGTGTGGGTTTGTCTTTCTTTATATCCGAGCCCATTCACTTTTTATGTTGACGAAAAACAAAAGGCAAAAAATATAATCTATTCCACGCGGCCGGATTGATGCAAATTCAGCCGCGCGGGATGCAAAAAAAAATGTAGCGGTATTCGCGATGATGATGAGATGATGCCCGTCGGCAAATTCGGCTTCAGTCATTACCCGACCGGGTGTGATTATTGTTATTGCTTAGTCTCGCAGCCGCGGGCCTGGTTCTTCTTCTTCTCGCGTGTGACTTGCGCAATTCCGAGGAATTCGTGGCCCTTTTTAAAGAATCCTTCTTTTTTTTATTCGTTGCTGCCGTTTTATGGGCCCTTATTGTGTACACATTTACATTCGTGTCCGCTTCTATTCGCCCATAGCGACCAGATGTCGAATTGGCCAACTAGTAACGTACCTTTGAGTTTAACTGTTCTCTTGCATTCGGTCGAGATTTTGCCACCAGGTATGCAAGTACACCTTGATTCGAGCTCCCGTTTTGGAAATCGGAATTTCTCAACGTCCTGTTTGCGATGCTGAGAATTCTGTTCGTCCTCAGTTGTATAATAATCATTATACGATCTTGCTCCACAAAGTAATCTCACAAGGATGCAAAAAAAAAATACTGAAGTTGATTTGGAAACAAGTGTATTTTTTTGAAGCACGAATCAAAAGCACAATCAATTTATCAATTATTTTATTATAAATTTAAATTAAACTATTTTTAAAATTATCATTTACAATTTCAACGTTTTTATTATTAAAAAAAATTACATTATTTTTGTAACTTTTTTTATGTCAGAACTCAGAACTCATATGCGTCGATCTTCATAATTTTTAACAATAATATTCTATTACATTAATTATAAATAACACTAATTTTATGAGCAAAAATTAAGAAGCCTTTTCTATTTCAAAGAAATCTTCGCAAGGCGAAAATATTGGTGTCTGGTATCAATTAAATTAAAGATTTAATTAAATCATTAACAACCATCAGATTACATTTTAAATTCTGTAGAAATTAATTGAAAAAAATCCCCAGAACTAATTTTTTTAAACTTATATTGCATCTTAAGATGTTATTTGCATATTATTGAACAATTAATACATTTTTTAATGTTTATAAGAATTTTTAATAAAATTTTAACAATTATTTTTGTTATTTTATATTTTAAATCATTTCATACTATTAATTTTGTAATTTTTATTGTTTTGTATCAAAAAACTTGCATTAATATTATGCGTTTTTTACGATTTATATTGTTTATTTTTTTTCAAAATAAAGAAATAAATAATTCAAGTGTCAGTTGTCAGCATCTACATCAATCTACATTTTATAACAATAAGCTCGTGAAGAATTGCGCCTGTTTATAAATTATTTTACATTAAATTAATTAAATCCCAAATGATTTTTGATAATTATTAAATAAGTATCTATGTAATACTATAGTATTTTAATTATTGCTGAAGCTACAAGATATAATTTAAAATTTAATTGAAATCAATCGGAATTATTTATACTCTAAGTTCATTAAAAACTAACAAAAATTAATTATTTACATGCGTGCCGTCCCGAAGCTAAATTTTTTAATCAAAATTTCTAATGATTATATTATTCCAATCTAGAGGCAAAGAATTTTTAAAATTTTTGCAAGGTTTCTGGATTAAACTGCAGCAGGACGAAACCAATTTTTACCGGCGTCGTTCGCCGCCGCTGACAAACATGGGCCTGAGCGTCGAGACTGGTTTGCCGCCGCCGCGAATAATTCCAGAGGAGAAAAATCAAGTACAAGCTGCTTCAGAAGCGCATTAGATCGCATTGAACACTTTGTATGTGGCGCGCATTCGGTTATTTATTTATTTGTTCGTCGGTCGCCGGAGCGCAGTCATTTGTAAAAGCAGCTTTGCTGGATTTTTTCTCGATTGCGGCCGCCACGGTGACTGAAGGGTTAAATAGAGGACAAATGGCCTCTTGTTTTATGACGTGCCGTGCGCGCAGTAATCACTCGTGACAAGCAAGTGCACTGCTCGCGAACAATGGCCACGCAACGAGTTTTTCGCCGCAAAATCGGTGCGATTAATGCGTTTTTTTCTTCTCCTTTTGCAAATCGCCGACACGGTTGGCCAATCAGAAAATTACACTTGTCGCAACAAAACGCAAAGTCGAATATGCAATACTGGTCGTTGTTAACATTCCAAATGAACAAAACATTTTTTTTTATACCTTTTCAGATTGCTGAAAAAATGCAAAGGTTAAAGATTTTAATATAAATATTTCAAATTTT